TTCACATATAGGTAGATGAAAAATTAGACTTTTTTGTCTCAGGTTTGTGTAAAGGAAATGGCTCTAGAATAGTTTCCTATATGTTGATAAATTGATAATATACTAGAATATAATCATTAAGCTTTTGATTTACAAACTAGATAATAGTTAAATATAACCTCTTCAAGGTTAGACTTAGCATATAGTATACATTTTAGGCTTGCATGGTCAGGCTCAGCTCAAATCACGTTACTTTGTTTCTTGATTTTCGATGGCCCCTCTAGAGGCAAGCAGAATAGCATAAAAGTTATTATTTATATTGGATTTGCAATGTCAGGCCTAGCTCAAATCGTGTCACTTTATTTCTTGATTTTTGATAGCCCCTTCTAAGGCAAACAGAATAGTAAATTTTTTTGAAATATTATTTGGGATTAAAATCAGGCTAGAATAGTTAAATCAAACATTGTAATTCTTGGTATCAAATAGGTTAATTTTTAGCCAAGTTTGATATTATCATCTATATTTGAGTTAAATTACACTAGAGGCTTGAATTCGATAATTTGATTCATATAGCTAAAATGAATTTGTGGATGGATAGGAATCTTTCTGGATATCTTTTGGATTTTTGTCCCAAAACCCTTCTTTTTGCCCTACTGAGATCGATCATAATGATATTAGCGATAGTGTTATTAAAGCAATAGCTCACACATGTCATAAATTAGAACATCTTGAGCTAGAAATTATTCATTTGTTAGCGAACTATCAATTTATAATGTTATACATTCCTGCCTAAGACTCCAGCATCTCAAACTCAAATGTTATAATATTACCAGTACAACTATCAAAGAAATTGCTCACTCATGTCTCAATTTAAAATTTCTAGATTTGTAAGGATGTGAAAATATTAGCAAAAAAGCCATGGACCAGCTAAATCCAAATATTTATATTGAAAATTTTGAATAATACTACTCTGATTCAAAATCTTTTAACTCTAGCTCTAAAACTAAATCAGAGTGTTGATCTTTAACTCGAAAGATATCACATTTTTTTGATTATCTCTGGCAAATTTATCATTAGATACATATAGAAAAACTTTTTGCAATATTCTTTTTAGAAATTATTAGCTGATCAAGCAGAATGGTGATACTCTACCAATCTAACTAATTTGAAGTAATGATCATCAGCATAGAAGATTTTTTGCTAAGCCTTACGTGTACTTTTATGTGATAAAAAAATATAGATAAGCTAACCTATTCTAGACACAAATACTAACTGAATTTTTCATACAATTGAAATAATGGTAGTTACTTTCTAGTAAAATAAAACATTTCCACTTCCTATAGATAAATTTCTGTATTAACATGTCTAGACCATTTTTTGCTAAAGGTGTTAAAGGTAAGGAACTGTTAGAAGTTTTGAAGATATGCTCTTGCATTTTTATTAGCTTCTTCTAATCCAGTTATTTCCTGATCAGGATGACTGACAATACCAAGATCATTCTGAATCACACTTATATCCTCTTCCAAATATAAAAGCAAATGATATAATGTCCTAAGTGACATTTTCCCAAATGTTTTTTCCTCAAGATCTAGTATATAGTAAAAATAGGGTGGCAGCTACATTGAAATCTCCTTGTATATTTATTAATTCTCCCACCAAATCAAATAACAATCCAAATGAATCTTCAAATATTTTTTCTTTTTTGCTTTGGTTCAATGCTGTTTGATTTCTAATCTCAATAGGTTCCTTCCTCCGGTCTGGATCTATACTGAGTTTTTTCTGAATAGCTATTATATTTTTCTTTTTATATAAAAGCACTTCATATAATTGAGCTTCGCTTTTATCAGAATTAATATTATATTAGTATTGCTTATCATAATTGTGTTTATCTCTGGTTAGCATATATTTAATTTTGAGTCTAGAATACTGCTCATCAGCCAAAAGTAGTAATCTTTAGCTCAGAAGATTTGCTGAGCCATATTCAGCATCTTCAGCCAAATTGTGCAACAAAAATAAGCTGATTATATAATAGATCTATGTGACATATTAATTTTGCATATATTCGCTAACCAATATCTCTACTTCAAACAAATGTAAGAAAAATGTGAAAGGAGGTCTAGTTACAACACAGGACTTACTGTAAAAGCACATAGTGATGACAAAAGCATATGTCATAAAAGGCTAAGGGACTCGCAATTTTAAGATCACCAGGCATAAAACTAACTATATATATTGCAGGGTAGATCTCTATGTGAAAAGGTTTGAAAATTCCGTTTACATGTACTTTCATGAAACTCTTGGCATCAGACGACAATATTAATTATGCCACATATCCCATTAATTTTTTTTAGCAAGATATAAAGCATATAGAGGTATATAGAAGTTCAATCAACCTTTCTGCAAAACTTTTCCAGAGAAAATAAGATATGTATAAAATTTTATTAACTATAACAAAATGTTTCAAAGTATTCTTGTATCTATAAGATAACAATTTTTACTATAGATTTTACATTAGGAAATGAACGTGAGTTGGTTAATGACCAAAACAATTAGGCTCAATTGCCTCTTTTTTTCCCATATCACATCTGATAAAAATATTTCAGGTCATAGTATTACTGTGCTTAAAATCGCCATAAACAAAACATTTGACAAGTTAAGAACTATCAGAAATTGACAGATACCTTTTTTCACAAATATTGGTCTAAATAGCTTTATCATTTATAAGGCTAACATCAAAGCAACTACAAAAATTTCTGATCAGATTGAGTATTATAGTGATAAGAAAATGAAATCGATAAAAAATTGGCAATTTTCCATACAAATTAATTTCTCTGTCAAATGCCTGAATTATAAAATTCATATTATCATAGAATTCTAAATCCTTTATATACTGTATAGTAATATTTTTATGTATTAGTTGTCAACTCTGATAATGATTTATTTCATAAATAAAGTATTATTTTACCAATACATGAGAAAGGATCACGTGTAATGATGTAATATAATCGCTGATAATTCTGTATTACATCTTAATTTGCATATATATTGGGTAAAAATGCTAATCAATATAAAAAAAATCTTTTATTTCTCTCTGGATATATCTTATATCAGAAACTAAAAATACTTTTATATCCATAAATCAGCTTTACCTGTAATTGCAATCAAATGCATATTTTTTCCTAAGCACAAACTCATATATATAAAAACTATGTCTTTACAAGCTTCTTCACCCACCTTAATAATAGAAGAAATTTTTACTAGAACAATGTCAGACATGGTTAAGGATTTTAATACAGAAAAGCTTATCAAATATTTGAAAAAGAAAAACTTAAAGTTAGAGGAGTTCCATTTCAAAATTTTACGTAAAGCAGAAATTTCTGGTCTTGCTTTTCTTGATATAACTAAAGAGGATTTTCAAAGTTATGGCTTGAAAGCTGGTTCCGCAACAACACTAGCAAAATTTATTAAAGGTCTTAGCCAGAAATTAAGAAACTATTCCTTGCTTAAAACTCTCAATGACTTGAAGGAAATGTTATGTAGAAATAAGGTTAATGGGGAAGATATAATAAATATCAAGCAGTTTACTCCTAGTGGATAATTATTCTTATTTTTTTTTCAGATTGAAAATCATACATATTAACTTTATTTCTTTCTGTAGTCTTCGAGAAGATTAATGATGATGATAAAACGCTCAATCACTGTATAAAGGATATTATCTTAAAACTTTTGAGCGTGTAAACCATGACCAATGCTAATGAGGTGACACGCTGTGAATTTATTTCAGCTATATCAATTGCTATCGCCAAAAAACTCATCTTTCAAGATATATTCATAATTTTGCAAAAGATATTTCTGGTGAAGATGTGACAGGCCGAGTGGACTACACAATCAAAAGTCTGAAAGAGTTCCTCTGTATCACTGAAGGGAAACCACATAATATTAAAATTGGATATGCTCAAGTAAGTTTGCTTATCCTCCTAGTATATTGTTTTTAATGAGAACAATTCTAGCCGAAGATGCTCAGACAAAGGATGATGTATTTTATCTCTTAGAATCTGATACAACTTGAAAGTGCGTTCCAAACAAATAAGAAAAAATGAACTGCAGATCAAGCATTTAATGAAGATTACTTTGACTATCTTTATGGCATTGTGACAACAGGGCTGAGTGGCATTTTATTATATATACTCCAGATGGTATTTACTGTACAAGTGGTAGTGAATATCTGATTAATCTCACGAAATCCGCCATCAAAAAAAATCCCGAATTACTTCAAAACAACATGAAAAGGGTAAAAGGTATAATTGTTGGGCTACTAAAAGATAGGGTTAGTGTTGGTAGTTCCCCAACTAGCAAGAGGGTCAGAATCGAAAAAAATTATCAAAAAATAATAGCATAGACGTTGTGTATCATGGGCTACGTCCCGAACTTTTGTATTTATTTTCGCATGTATTAATAAAAAATTTTTACGTGCGTGACAAAATGTCACAGTTTTTTATAACCTAAAAGTTTCGAGGTGTGAAGAGTCTTCACATTTGCCAGATGACATCAGGAAAACTTAGGCTCAACATCGTATGTAACATCCGCAGTGTAGACAGGTCTATTTGTTCCGAAATTTTGTAATAGATCTGAAATTACTTCAAGTTCTCTTGCGTAACATAATTTTTTATGAAATACATAAACGTAATTGTGGAAAATTTAAACGTGGATATAGAAACAGAATATGTGGATGGGATTGGTTAATTTATTTTAGAAATCACAGAAGCATAAGAGATAGGTGTATAGATAGCATTAGATATTATGAAGTATATTATAGTGGGAAGGAATACCCATGTTTTTTATTAGCTTAACATTGCTTCGGCTCTTTACATTGATTATTCATTAACAAAATAAATATTTCACTTGAAGCTTTTAAATGTGTAAGTTGTGTGTGCCAATTTTTATGTTTTATTGTGACTATACTTTTTTGCTTATATGAAAAAAAATCGTTAGTCAAGTGACTTATTATAAATAGAAACATCTTAAACCAATAAATCATCAGCATAACTCAAAGTAGTACTAAAATTTCGATCAATATCAGAATCACCACTTTCTGGATCACTATCAGAATTTATATGAATATGGTATTTTATTTCACTCTCTATGATCCCATCGAAGTCAAACACAATATCTTCCATGAATTCCTGCTTAAAGGTATTTGGTAGTTTCCATCTATGATATAACTTCTTGTGTGATTCAGAAACGGTAATTTTATATCCTTTGAAATTTACAAATCTGATATATGATTCACATAAATAACAGCATCTTTTAGATATCGCTATAAATTTCTTTTCCTTGTCCTGATCCATTATTTGGTCAATACGTTTAATTCTACGTGTAAATATATATGATTAATATTTTCATGGTCCAGCTGTGTATCTACACCACCATATATACGTTCTAGACTTTCTCTTATCGCACGATCTTTCATACATCTTTTCTTAAAATCATTATATTCTTCTCGAACAGGTAAAAAAATTTTGACGATATTATTCCATGAAAATGTGGTTTGATCAGCCGTATCAGGATTCAATAATTGCAATTCTATGCAAGAAAATGTGGTTTTGTACGCTTCCTTACGTGCACAATTTGTGATATCAATCAAAGACCCAATATAAGATCCCACTTTTTTTTGATATGTTTTAGAAATTTTTTCAGAATTGCCGAATCCTTTTTTACTGTTTGATAATAATTGTAACAAACCCTAGATATAGCGGGTTTTTTCCCATACATATCATCAACATCAATTCTAGTTTTAGCATAATCCAAGAAAGGTTCAATATATACTTCGTTTATCTTGCCTCCTTCATTGGTTATATTTTCCCTAAGTTTGTCCAATCTATATCCAAGCTTATTAGAACAATACTTCAATACAACAAAAGTTAATTCTTTCATGTCATTTCTGTTATGTGCTTGTTCGAATGACATGGGAGCATCTTTAGATACGTTTATCAGGACTTCTTTAACTTTGTTGATGTACAGTGAACTCTTGATATAATGAATTCTAGGATCTGGATATCAACTTTGTTATAAGCTTATAACGAATTTTTTAAAGAATTTAATTGGCTAGTTCACTATAGTAAAGGTAATTTTAATATATTTGATTTAAAAATTCGTTATATCAAGGGTTCGCTATATCAAGATTTGACTGTAGTTGCAACATATGTTATAACAGTGGTATGTTGCAACATATTCATAAAGGTTACCATCTTTAATCATGATCCAATTAAAGTTTCTCAATGCCTCTGACCTGTATAAATAAGATTTTAAAGCTGAAGATATTGGTGAATGCTTATATAAAATTCGTGATGATAATGTTAGACTAAGACATTTCCTTAACGCAGACAACGAGGATGAAATAGAAGTTATATTGAAGGCCATTTCTTACATGAATATATTAATGGTGATGAGATACTTCAGCCTATTATAGATTTTGATTTGCCAGTAGAAACATTAAAACAGGTAAAAAATTTATTAGGTTACGCTTTTAAAGATACTTGTCTAGAAATTTTTCCAAAATGGAATAAAGAAACTATGTCTATTACTAAAAGTAGTGATGAGAAAAAAAAATCTCTACATGTCTTAATTTTTGGTATAAGACTTCCAAATATTGCTAAGGCTTCAGTTTTCACTAAACTTGTTCTTAAAAAACTTCCAGTAGGATTGCAGAAAAAAGGTATTATTGATAACATAGCAAATAGAGGTTCTTTCAAATCTTTCTCTTTGCAAATGATTTGGTCATCCAAATATGATAAAAAAACAGACAAAAACATTTGTGTGAAAAACCTATTCGTCCAAAAGATGAAACTATTTTTGATTTCATGATTCATTCGCTCAATAATGATTCTAAAGTCATTGATGACCCTCTATTGGCCATTTCAGAGCCAGAAGTTAAAAGATGCCTGACTGAAGAAAATGAAAATAATGATATAAGTAGCGAAACCACTCAGGCTGAATTCGAATATGTGGAATTATTACTTGGAGAAAATGACATAGAAGGATATAGTCTTTCATATCATCCATCTGAAGACTTTTCTGACAAATTTCCACTAATACGCAACTCTCCATCACATTGCTTATTATGTGATTGGGAGTATATTACTGATAATGCATATATTATATGAAATAAAAATCATATAGCTTTAAATATTACCATACAAATCATGAACGAAATTCTGGAATGATAAATCCCTCAATAAAGCTCACTATTAGCGAAACTGCCTTGGATCAAGAACAAAAGCTTCCAAGTCCTGTAAAACTAGAAGGATCCAGGATTACAAATCCTAATGATTACTTTGTATTAGGTGATTTAATTGATATGTGTGTATCTAGACAGAAATTTTCTCGTAATGAGATTTATGATGCAATTCAGGCAACTGTTGCCTGTATTCAAATGACATCAAGATTATGGGTGCTCAAAATAGAGAATATGAATGGTGGACTATATTTTGATATGACATCAAAACTAGATCTTGTCAAATATAAAGTTAACTTAGTTAAACTAGGAGGAGAGATGGTGAAGTTAATTAATTTAATAGATCGAGCAGTTACCAAAGATCTAATCCTCTACCGTAATATTAATTTTCTACTGTATCCGCTAAATATTCCATCTCATGATACAAAGTTCTTTAATCTTTTTCTAGGATTTTTGGCTAAGCCAGCAATGAGAATTAACAAAGAAATTATAGAACCGATTCTCTGACATTTAAAGAACGTAATCTGTAATGAGGATGAAAGACTTGACGAATATATTTGAACTGGTGAATATATTTAGTGCAGAAGTCAGAGAAGAAGCTCTGAACTATTTTAGTACTAAAATCTACATTATAACAGTGCGGGAAAAATATTATCACTGATTTTATTGGTGACAAAGTTTTGGGACAACATCTTCATTTTGCAACATAAGATTTGGAAAAAATTCTTAGACGTTTTAATAGCGCTATTTAAGCTCGAAAGCTTATTGTTATAAATGAAACTGAAATGTCGAGTGGAGAATGATATAGATTTAACAGGCATTTCAAATCACTCATAACAGAACAAATGGTAGCTATAGAAATTAAGGGTCTTGAAACTATACGAATAAATAATTATGTTAGGTATATGGTTATAAGCAATAAGGATGCTCTACTCAAAATAGACATAGGTGATTCTCATATAGTCTATTTTGATGTCTCTGCATACTGTAGAAATAATATAGCATATTTTGACTGGCTAGGAGAAATACTAGACCATCATAATGCATCAGAACTAGTAATACACTAGTCGAAATAATCCATTTCGTCACTTTTTTAAAGTGCCGAATGTTGGTCAAAATATAATCTAATTTCTGCTGATTATTGCCAAAACAATCGGCATTTTTAGTTATAGCTGAAGTTGCCTAATTTGGGTGTCATACAAAAAACATTCAATATTAATGATTGGTAGTTATTTGATATATCACTAGGCAAAATAATACAATTCATCATATTTAAAGTGCTAAAAGTTAGCCAAAATATAGTCTAATTCTACCAATTATTACTAAAAAAATCAGCACTTTGAATAAATAGAAAATCGGCTACCAATCAGCATTTATGTTAAAAATTGACCAAAATTCGGCATAAATCAGCTTAAAATTAGTCAACAATTAGCAAAAATAATTAAGCAACTATTTATAAAATCGAAACTAATAAAACTCATTTTTTGTTTATTTATGATTTATATTATTACATAATAAATTATTCAAAAAGAATATATATTGTATTATATTTTATTCAAAAAAGATACATTTGATTTTTTAAAGGTAAGAACATAAGAAATCTTCAAACAACATAGTAATTACCTCGAGTTTAGATTTTAATATATTAAGATTTTGTTCTATTTTTTTCTGAATATGGTCTATAGGTAATTCTCTATCCATATTCAATGCTTTTAATACTTTTAGCCTACGAATACTAATATATCCACTCTTCACTTACAGTAGATGTAATAAAAAGTACCAATACATTATTCTCATCCTAAATTTATGAATTATAACTTTTATCACACATGTATTTTCAGAAACTTTTAAAAAGACATATCATCATTATTTTGACTGGATAGTCACACATAGTAGAGATGAGCAGAAACCCTCAACATCCTAAGACATTGATCTTTTAGATAAGCATTTCTAGACCTTCAGCTATAACAAACTAAAACTATATTAAATTTTCATTTACTATAACATCATCATTAAAGTAAAAAATAGAAATAAAAATCTCATTTATATCATACCTGTGATAATATTTTTAATACCTTAGTTCTTCAACCAAGATTTATTAACTTCGCTAATGATAAATTGACTGCTCAGTTAACTATTTCCTATACTTTGTCATATGGAGGTAGAATATTATCCTCTATTGTTAAATAAATCACACACATCTCATCTCACAAAGAGTATCAAATGATTCTTATAATAAAAGAGCTTCAATCTTAACTATTAAATTCGACATAATAAAAAAATATTAATAAAAATATACTGATATAATATAAGGTTATCAATGACAAAACATAAATTTTTTCATATTGCCCTTTTAAATGAATTCATTATATTCTATCTAGACTTGTATTCATATTGGGAAAAAGAGACAGGAGAATATGCAACAGATTTACGCTAAAATTTTATATTCAAAAATAAAGGCATATAGGTATGTATTGAAGATCTCAATATTTAGAAAGACATTAGGGATAATGCATATAAATTTTTCATCTATCTATTTAAAACTATGATTTGGCAACATTATATAATATATTTCAGTTAGAATGGATAGACCTCATATAGTAGAAATAGGTTTGTCTCTTCAGAGCAAATATACATATCATTTAATATATTATTTTTCTAGAATATTGCAAAAGAAAAAATTTGAAATATTTCATCCTTTATACTTTCAGTACTGCAGGAGATAAACAACCTTATTTAGCTTTTCTTTTTTTGAATAAATATGAGAAAAAAGGGGATGATTGGCAGTATATCACTATTATATCATATATGCACTTTACAAGAATCAGAAACATGTTTATTTTTGTTACACATGCCTATATGCATTGGCAAGATGCAGGTAAAAATAGAGCTAATATAATACATTTCCTTTTCTTTTGATCTGTTGATTTGTGAGAGATAGCCTTTTCTTTTTTTGGCAAATTTTAGCTGAGATGCTTCAGTCAAAATCATGTGAATCTTTTTCGAATGAATATGAGAATAAGGGATAGAACTATTTTTTATTTATGTATCACTTCAATCATATTTTAAAAAATTTATAGATAGTTTTCTTCTGCAGATGATATATTTTACGGATTAGCTCTATATTTATAAAATAATACTAGATATAGTATTAACAAACATTTCTCAAGAATGCTTTTGGGATACTTTATCTCTATACTACTAATTACTATTAGGTAGGATATTAATATACAAATCAAGTTATACTAATATTTTCATTCTGACTACTAGCGTACTGATAGGATTTTTTTAGTATCAAGATAATATTTGGAATTCTGTGCCCATTTTATCATAGTATACCAATTTGGTATATAATCTTTTTGTTATAATGTTTTTCTAACACGAGCAAAGAGCACCTAATCTAATCGGCATATAAATGGTATGATCATATTGTAAAAGAAATTGATCAACTTTCCTATTATATTTTATTAATTTTCCATTAATATAATAATAAGCCTCATCACAAGAAATATTGCCTAAATATTTCCACCTGTCAGGAGCAGTGATAGCAAATTATAAGATTATTTACTTTTTTTTCAAATGATTTTGATCATTTTGACTTGAAATTTATAATAAAAGTAAGGTCATTTAATATCATTTCAAGGTCATTTTAAAATTATATGCCAATACTAGTCAGGAGTATTATCATTTCTAATTACCTTCTAAACTTATTTTACCAAAGATTTGGGTCTCT